TACACAGTTTATTCAATGGTTACGGAAATACAATTGACCCGTAGCTGCCATGAACATAAGTGGTATTTAGATTTTGCCTGTATCTTTAAAAGCAGGGAGAAAAATCAGATGGAAATTAACTACAAAAAACCTGTGCTAATGTAAAATGAATGCTGCAAATGTAAACACATAAAAAGTTAAATCTCCCATAACAACATCAACTCTTTCACATCGCACATATTATATAGGAAGGTAAACACCTGACATCCAAAGTAATAATCAGAAGTAATATGTATGCAGCAGCTGATACTGTAAGAACCTTAACTGGGCTACTTCTTGACTTCTGTGTTGTTGCATTTGCAACCTTAGGCCCAAATTATGGCTATGTTGTGCAGGTGCACCAGATTGGGGAGAGGGCCCAAGAAGCCCTTTTCCCCATGCACACCCAACAAAGAAGGTAGCCATTATATAACTGCAGGGAAATGAGAGGCAGGGACCAGCTAGCAATGCAGGCAGAGCTAATGGCTTTATCGAGGGATTCGTCTGCATGGGGCAGGACATAACAGCAGAGCAGTTTTTCAAAGGCACAGAAAAAAACAGTTCTCAAAATGTTTCCACCGCTGCTGGTAAAGGCATATAATGCCACCAGCCACCACCACTTGGGTAGTGTGCTGCCTCCTCCAGTGTACCTCTGCCTCCCAGGAAGCATAGTTTTGCTCTTCACATTGTATTAACCTAAGTACTTGCACTCAGCATTTTATGAGAGTCCTACACTCTTCCATGCCTAATTACTTTCCTGTGTGCAGACTGGCATGCACCTTTGCCATCCCACCAGTTTACCAGCCAGGGGCTCATAGTGCACACTTGACAGAACTATACAATATGCTTTGTGAAATGTACATTTAATCCAACACAAAATTTCATCCATCCAGGACTGCAGCCCATGGCCGTAATGCCCTTTGGCCACCATATCCCCAGTATCCTCCAAGGATGTTAAACCAGCCCCCTGCTAAGATGAAGCCATGACTTCTCCAGCTAACTTTTGCCCTTTTGTGGCTTTATATGCAGAAAGGTATGATTTAGCACTTAAGCCACAGTGGTGTACATACAACTCTCTCATACAACTGACATATTCCATGAACAATGCCTTGTAGTAGTTGGTAGACAGCATATATAGAGAGTTGTAACCAGTTTGTAAAGTATGCAAAGCGCTTTAAGACTTAATTATTACTCTACCAATATCTGAAATAGTTTACTTGGTTTATTTTCTTATCATCAGAGGTGAGTTAAAAAATACTACTACTTCACAAATTGTACCTCTTCTGGTTAAATAACAATTTTGTAGTTTTTTTTTAAAAACTTCCCTTTTCTTGTATGTCATATCCTTGGAGAACGCTCCATTCACTACATTGTTAGACTGCAGCTTTGAGGGAGAAACTTCTTAAAGGCAGATCCTGTCTGTAAGCATGATTTAATCTGAAATCAGAATTGCTTTATTGGCCCAAACTAATGGTTTATCTAGTCCAGTATCTAATCTCCGGTTTCAGAGTAACAGCCGTGTTAGTCTGTATTCGCAAAAAGAAAAGGAGGACTTGTGGCACCTTAGAGACTAACCAATTTATTTGAGCATGAGCTTTCGTGAGCTACAGCTCACTTCAAGTGAGCTGTAGCTCACGAAAGCTTATGCTCAAATAAATTGGTTAGTCTCTAAGGTGCCACGAGTCCTCCTGTTCTTTTATCTAATCTCTAGCATTTACAAATGCTTAATGCTTCAAAGGGCGATACAATGCCCAGTAATACAGCTAATTGTGCAACACGGTACCATTAAGGGAGATTTCTTCCCAATCAATTTATGGCATGAAGACTCAGAGTGGTGGACTTTGTAATTGTATCCTTGCTACTGAAATTTCAGATGTTATGATTTATATGTCATTTTAAAACATATTTTTAAACTAAGTTGTTTTCTTCAATAACATGACAACAACGAATTCCATACTTTGGACTTTGCATTGGAAAAATATTCATTTTTATCTATTTTTAAATTCAAAGACTTTTTATTTCATCAAGGGTGCTCTTTTACTTAAATCATATGAATAAGTAAACAGAAGAACTTGAATGGCTTCTCTACAGTCCTTTATATTATATACTCGTATATCACCTTAAGCTTTAAGGTTTTCTCATATGGAAACTTTCTACTCCCAAATACCTCTAATAATTTTCATTGTTCTCCCTCTGAACCTTTTCTATTTCTGTTATATTTTTTAGATGTGTCCAAAATTGAATGTAATATTCAAGATGAGAATATACTATCAATTTACTAATGGATATTTTCTACTATTGTATTTGTAGTTTTGATCAGCACTATAAATTGAGTATACGCTAAATCTTTACTGTGAGAGATTACAACTAATTCGGAATTAGATAGTTAAACTTAAAATAACAGGGCCTGTCTTTTTAATAAGCAATTTTAAACACAGGTAGTGTTGTAGCCTTAAGATGGTTTATCTGGCAAGACTCTGATACAAAACTAGATAATAAAGCAGAACAAGTTCTTCCTCCAAAACTTCCAGGAGTACAAAATTTAAAACAATCCCAAGGCAAGGCATCGTTTACCTCATGTTTATCGGGCTTTGTTCACTAATAGAGAGCCTTACCACCTGAGAAGTTAGGAATCCCTTATATACTTCTCATTACCCCTGATATTTTTCCATGCACAACCCTATTGGGAAGGAGATACACTAGACTAGTAAAACAGACTGATTAGCAATGTTACTACTAAAGAGAGAGTTAGGTTAAAAAGCCAGTTATGTTTTCCAAGATCTCCTCAGTTATGTCATTAATAAATACTTTGATTTATTAGGAACATAGGACTGGAAGGGACCTTCTAGTGCCCTGCTATACCAGTCATATAAGCTTGTTCATAAACTTATCAAACTCCATCTTTCAAACAAATTGGGTTGTCTGCCCTGGTCCCCAACTGCTCCTATTGGAAGGCTATTCCAGAATCTCACTCCTTTCATGGTTAGAAACCTTCTAATTTCCAGTTTAAATTAGCACTGGAAGCACTGATGAACTTTAAAATACATTTTAACATTTAAACTGTTTACTTTCTTCACTTTACTCAACTTGGACAATGAAAACTGACCCGCTGGTATCAGTGTCTGGTTCTCATGCACTAGTACAATGTCACAGTGAGACGTTGAAAAGAGTGTTGGGGAATTTTTAAATCTAAGCAAAGGTGGTTTTTGTTTGTTTGTGCACATGCTGCATGGCAGTGTCGTTTTAAGTACATTAAGATATATACAAACTATTAGCCTTTCTGAGCAAGAAAAATTTGAAAGTGATATTGTGCCTGAAGATTAAGTGTATATTATCACTGAACATAAGTATTTCATGACGTGAAAAGCAAAGCTGTTAACCCTATCTGTTTGTCATATGCACACGTATATTGTAATCATAAGTATACTGTAATGTTACTTAGGACTTATTCAAGGGCAAGCCTTTACCAAACAATAAAATGTACTATGTGCTACACCACCTAATATTACATATATATGTAGAGAGAAAGAGAGAACTAATTACAGGGCCTATTACTTCAGCAAATGGGAAAAAATGCACAGAGAATAAAATCTATACCATTCTGGTAACATAGAGCTGGTTGCTAGTAACCATTAATGTATATTGTCAAATACTTTAGTTTAAACAGGGATTGACCTTTATATTGGTATACATACATCTTGACAGACTATTCTCACTCTGTTTAACAGTTGAAGTAACTTAAAACATATTGTGTAAGGTATATTTACTAGACCCATTTTTAGCAGTTTTGCATATGTTGGCTAGTCCTCACTAACAAATTACCCCTTTATATCCAGCGCCTTGTAACATAGCACTGGAAATACAATTTTAAATTCATTTAGAGATGCAATTAACATATTTAGGTTGTGTATGTAAATAATTAGTATTTAATGCAAGTAGGGAACAGGGAGTATAACAAAAAAAGTTAAGCCAATCTTAGTCAATACATTTGCTTCTTTATTTAGAATATACTCTACATCTGGATTAAAAAAAAGTTTTAAATAAGCTTCAGTACATGTACACTAATGGAACCCATCATCCGTCCAGTGACACAGGGATGTAGTTTAGTAAACTGGCTCTGTCCTGGGTAATAAATGGAATTTTTACAACAGTTTTATTATTTTCATTGGCTTATTTTCAGCCTCATATCAGCCAGCTATACAGCCAGCACATACAGGTACAAGTCATCAGTCTCCTTACTTAGAGGCGAACAATAACTCCTCACCCTGGACAGAACAAAAATTCGAATAAACGAATATTGATTAATGTACACCTTTCTCTGTTTGTGCGTTGGTAAAAAATAAGAGGCCTGCAATTCTACGATCATGCAAAGAAATCTTACACATTATATACACGTCTTTTATTGTTATAAAAGTAGTGCAAAACAGGAAAGAAAGAAGTGATGCAGTTTCCACTAGGAGGACGGCCGCCTCCGCCACCACACGCTCTCAGCAACTACTGGCCTCGGTCACCCTCTGTCATTCATTCTAAGCTCCCAGACTAGGAAACTTGATACACCCACGCCGCTTCGCTGCCGCCGCTGCGCAGGCAAAGATCCCCGCCGCCGTGCAGCGCAGAGCTGCTCGCACACCCGGGCAGGATGTGCCCGCCATGCGTCACGGTCCCCTCCCCCTCCCGCTTGAACGTCCACCCGCCCCTGGCGCCCCATGCACACGCACACACACACACACGTCTGCCCCCCTCTCCCTGCCCCCCTCCTCCACGCTCGCAGTCCTTCATTCCCCCTCTGGCACGCGCCCCCACCCGCTTCCACTGTCACACACTCGCCCCCCCCCATGCCCGTCCCATGCTCATCCCCCTCCATCTGCACGCGCGCACACACACACACACACACACACATGCTCCTCGTCCCCTGGGCGCGCTCCCCTGAGCCCCTCCCTCCCTCTCTTCCCCCCCGCCCCCCGGCAGATAGGGATCCCTTGCTCGGAAGCACCCCCACCCACCCAGCCAGCCCATGCCAAGCCCTGCCCTGGCTCAGTGCCCCCAGTTGCTGAAGCCGATCTCCTGCTTGTATCTGTTGGTGAGCACGTTGGCCTTGCGGGTGAGTTTGGAGAGTACCGTGTGGAGTCCGCTCAGGTGATAGTGGAATTGCTTCTCCAGATCCTCCTCCTCCACCGCGGGCTCCGGCAGGCCCCGGCCAATGTCCCCGCTCAGCTTGTCCTTCTTCCGGCTGGCCTCCTCGGCGCCCTGCTGCAGCACCCCCCACTCGATGTCGTTGCGGATGGACTTGAGCAGCAGGTAATGGCTGTACATGTCCCTGCGGGAGAAGAAGGCGCCGGCGTCCCCCGGCGAGAGCTGGGGATCCCCCTCCCCGCAGCCGCCCCCCGAGTCCAGCTCCTCCAGCAGCAGCGGCACGTCCCGCAGCAGGCTGGGCACCATCACCGTCTGGTCCATGTTGTTGACGGCCCCGATGAAGCGGTTCATGGCGTTAAAGAGGGAGTGTTTCTGGCTGTAGGAGTCGCAGATCTGCATCATGTTGGCAGATGGGTGGGGTGCAATGCCAGTGATCACCGGGTGCCTGGGGAGCACGGACACAGCAGCTGGTTCCTTCTTCTGCCCCACCAAATCTCCTTGCAAGGGCCACCAGGAGCCAGGCCTTGTATCTCCAAAGCCTTCCCCCCGCTTGCTCGCTGCAACGCTCAAGGGCGGTTTGCTGGAATAGAGAAGGATAGATGCTGTTTAGATGGAAGGCATTTTGCGCCATGCGCCAACCCCCAGTTATCAGTACTTCCTCTTCCTACCCATAACCCTCTCCCAGAGCTTCACCTTTTTCTCCCCCTATCCTTCAGCAAACTCCTTCTTCACCCCCGTCCCCTTCAGCTCCCCGTTTTAATCCCAACCCCGCTCTGGGCTTTGCCTCCGATCTTTCCTCCTAACTCCGTGTACCTTCCAAGGCCGAGCCCTCCGTTCCTCCGCCCCCAAGGCTCCCTACCTCTCTGTGCAAATCTCCTCCGGCCTCAACCCTCTCCCGGTGGCCCCCTGCCCAATATCTCGCGGCATCCTTTATCAGCGCATCATCACCAAAGCCAGCAGCTAAGGGAGGCAACCGAGCTGCGTTTCGATTTCTCATTCAGAAGATGCAAGAGCAACTTCTTCCAGTCCACGCCCCACGGTTCAAAGAATGAGACTGGGGGATGGGGACGGCAAAGGGAGCGCCTCTGATGGCAGAAACACAACTCCTTGCAGCGGGAATAAATTAAAAGAGCCCCCTGTGAGCGTGACACGGCCACAGATCCATGCAAGCCGCCTCGGGAGCTCCCACGGCCATTCACCCCATCACCCGCTCAGATCAGGGGGACGCCGCAGGCAGCCCACACCCACCAAATGTCCTGTAGAGTCGAGCCTCACTGCCGGTTCTCTGGGTCTGGCTGCTGGTGTCCGGGTGTCCGTGCGTCACTGTGTCCCGCTGCGGCCGGTAGCCCTGCTCCCATTCCAGGAGGTGTATTTATAGCGTGTATGGTAAAATAAGGTGTTCCCAAGTGCCACCCCCTTGCAGTGCAGCAAGATAAAGGCGGCTCTGAGTGACCGCGAGTAATACCGGCTCCTGCTACAAGGGACGGGAAGGCGGCTCCGCCTCTCGCCTGACACCCATAAGGGGAGGGCGCAGCGCGCTCCCGGAGGCAGATCCTGCCAGAGCTAGTGGCTGCCGGAGGGAAGCCGGGTGGGCGAGGTACCAACTCCTGCTACAGCGCATCCCACCCATCACTCTACACCCCGGCCGGTGACGGGAAAGGAGCCAGCTGCACAGCGGTGCGCAAACCCCTGTTTGCCTCAGGGCCGAATTTGGTCCTGTTTCCTCCGGATTGGATTGGTTTGTTATCTATAGCCACATCCATCCATGCCTATGTATAGGGACCAGCCGCTCCTGACTCAGTCCCGTAGGAGTCAGTGGGCAGAGCAGGACACAGCGCGGAGTGGAATGTTGACTCTCGCGCTGAATCAGTTCCGTATCGGCCGGATAAGCCATGCAAACAGTGGCAATGTGAGCCCAGGAGACAGACACCTCGGGCAACTGTCAGAGAGGCAGTTCGAGTAAGTACCCCAAGCATCCCAGCAGGATAGGTCTGGGCATTCGAAAAAGAAAACTCCCTCTGGTTCCCAGAGGGAACCAATTTAATAGAACACAATCTTCCTCCTCCTCCCTGCTCACACGAGGGATAGAGTGCAACATACCTTACGCCAGCTGCACCCAACCCCCAGGAGGAAAACCCCTAACACACTCAGCCTGCAATTCCACGCCTAGTCAACGAGCACACAGCATTCCCCAAACCATCCTAATCCTCCTGCTCTAACACAAATCAATCTTACTTCTCCTCCCCAGACCCCGAAAGGAAAATCCACCCACCCCAATCTTCAAATTCCCGCCCCCCAACTCCAGAGAGAGAGAGTAACCCACCCATCTTTTTTTACGTACACCACTTAGCTACTCTGCAGATAAGCACTTTATACATGCCGTGTGGCTGGATTAGACAGCCCCTCTCTCGAGACAATACCGACTTCAGACAGACGTGCTACCGTGCTTCAGCGATACTTGTGTACCTTGGTCCAAGAAAGAACTGGATTGTGTAACACACGCAAATCCTCCCCATGCCCAGAGAGAGAGACAGACTGTTACACCCAGCTTTAAACCTGTTTCCTAAACCTCAGAGAAAGGGAGACTGTAAAACACCCAGTTTAAACTGCCTTTCGCTCCGCGGACCGTAATCCAAAAACAGGGAGTCTGGAACACACCCAGTTTTAAACCTCTTTCCCCACTGCCCAATATGTATGTTTGCACCTCAGTATGTGTCTGTAGCAGCAGGTTGTAACATGCCTGGTGGGAATGTATTTGGCACGGGTGATGATGTGGCTCGGCTCTGCTGCATTGTGGGGGAAGGGGATCGCAACGGGTCGGTCTCATATAGCGTAGCGAGCAAATCGGTGGTTTCGCACGCCCTAGCTGCATAGCCAGGCACGCCCCCAAGTGACACGCCGGCCCCGCATGCTGCTGCCTTTGAAGGGACTTTACAGCGAATGCGATTCCTCATATCGCGCTCTAAAGGGAGGGAGATGGAATCAGTAGCCCCTCGGAGTGCACACGCTAACTCCTCTCCGGTGCTGATGCGCAGCCGGCGCTCTGACCCCCGCATACGGAGGGGGTAATTAGCCGGGGAGGACACGGTTTACTCATCCGACTGGGATCCAGGAATGTAGTCCTGGTTAAACCGGTCTCTCTCGACCTGCTGTCGGCCTTCGCCCAACGGAGGAGATGGGAAGCGCTCCGCTCTCCCCAGCTGTGCCCTGAGCGGACTGGCTGACATTGGCATGCTGGTCACTGCCCCTAGCAGCAAGGGCAGAGCATTACAAAGCGCCGCTGTGCACCCCGAGACAAGGCGTTCCCTCCCGCCAGCTACTGCACGTTGCCCGGCTCCTGTCTACCTGCCTCCCTTCCCCCATCAAGCCCCTTGCTCTAGCAGCAGCGCTGCGCATTTGCAGCCAATCTGTCCAGCAACAGCCCGGCTTCCCTGCGTTGTCTTCTCCCAGCTGGGCAGCCCAGCCGCGGCTGCAACCGGAGCAGGCTGCACCGCGACCACGTGCACCGCCCTTCCCCCAGCCGGGCTGCAGCAGGCGCCGCTGGAGGAAGGGCATCTTAGGCCAGGCGCGCGACACGCCGCCCATTGCCCCCCCCCCCCCGCAGGAAGGAGGCAAAACCAGAACGCGCGAAGGGAGGGGGCGGGCAACAGGCGCGCACTCGACCCCGCCCTATCTGGCTCTCTGCCCGCGCCCGGCGACTTAGCGGGCTGCGCCGGGGCCGGGATCACCCCACAGCCTCACCTCCAACCTCAGCCAATCGGCTCGCGTTCCAGTAGCCAGGCTCCGCCGACATACCCTCGTAAGCAAGATTCGGCGGCAGCCAATCAGAAACAACACTCACCCCCCCCCCCCCCGCGCGCTCTCTCTCTCTCTCTCTCTCTGGCGACCCTGGTAACAGAGGCGGCCGCTGCAGGGACACGTGGGACGGAGGGAGATTGCCGTGCCGCGTTACCTAGACAACCGATCAACCACAACACGGGGCGGGGGCCACGAATGGGCGTCGATCCCGGCCCGGCGCAGGCAGGTCGCGGCGCCTCCGCCGCTGTGTCACAGTCGCCCCGCCGTGGGAGAGTTCAGTGCCCTGGGTCGCAGGGAGACTTTGGTCCCATCCTTGTACTGCAGGCACCCCCTACATTTCTGCCAAGTCAGGAGCACGCCTAGTGCCCGCACAGCTAGCGCGCACAGGACCACGCCTAAGGCCCACACGCAGCCCTGGGCACAGGCAGAAAAGACACACAGCTAAGTAGAGCACTTGCGGAGAATGCACACACCCAGAAAAACAGCGGCCAAATTAAACGAAGACGTTGTCCTCTCTGACTCCTAGCCAACGTACAAAAGCCACCCTGAACTTTCCGGTGCCATCTCAACCGCAGGGACAAACGATCTGTCCGCTGCCAGGAAGCACTAGCAAGTCAAAAACTAATTTTTCTGGATGTGAGCCGACGGCTTGCAATATTCAAATTCAAGTTATTGGGAAGAACAGATGAAAAACGACAAGCTGGCATACTGCCATACTGGCAGATTACCCGTAGGCCACTGTGAAATGCACAAAGGTAAGGCAGAGTTATCAAACACAGAATGAGTGACCATAGACTACAGTGGAAAGAGAGAGACACAAAGCACAGTGCAAACTCAGGGTAGAATGACTGTGCAACCTGTGAGACAGAGGAGAGACTTGAAATTCAACCTACATATGCATATATACATTTGGGATTTGGGATTGAAGATCATGGGAGAGACAGAAAAACCAGTCAGTCAGAAAGAACATGATTTCAACAGTACAATGAAATATATCTGATCAGCATGAGTAGCAGCAAGGCTCCCACACCCATCGTTCCAGCTGACCCTGCTGCTATTCCCTGTGCCGCTGGTGGTTGCCTGCATCAGAACTTCCATACTGAGTCGGACTAATGGTCCATCTCGTCCAGTATCCTGTCTTCTGACAGTGTACAAAACAGGGCAGTTGGAGTGATCCACCTTTGTCTCCCCCTCCTAGCTTTTGGCAGTCAGCGGTTTAGGGTCACCCCCAAGCATAGGGTTGCATCCCTGACCATCCTGGCTAATAGCCACTGCTACTCTGAAACCTATCCTCTATGAAGTTCTCTACTTCTTTTTTGAACCCAGTTATACTTATGGACATCACAATATCCCATAGCAATGAGTTCCAGAGATTAATTGTGCACTGGGTGAAAAAGTACTTCCTCTTGTTTGTTTTAAATAAATGGTCAGTTTTCACAACGGAGAGAGGTAAATACTACTGTTCAATATATTCATTAATGATCTGGAAAAGGGAGTGAACAGTGAAGTGGCAAAGTTTGTAGATGATATACAATTCAAGATAGTTAAGTCCAAAGCTGACTGCGAAGAGTTACAGAGGGATCTCACAAAATTGGGTGACTGGGCAACAAAATGGAAGATGAAATGCAACATAATGAATTTAAATATATCTTGTATAGTCTGCCTGAAACTTAAATATGGTCAGCTAATTTTATATTTCTTCAGAATGTGTAGGCATGTGTCCAAGCCCTTGACTTTGGATAAATCTATAAAGAGGCCAAACTTCATTGGATAAAACACACAGTGCTTCATTTTTTTCTACTTCCTTATATTCTGATTGTTTTAATAGACAGTATAAACAGCCTCTTGCAGATATGCTATCATTTGATTATTGCAGCACTCCTGCATCAGAATGAAATAAGGAAGCATATGTTTATGACTTTAATAACATGCAATTGTGAAGTACCTATAGGTACAGATATTGTATGTGTGTGCAATTCCTTCTTTCCTGCTGTTGGCAGGTGATCCCATGCATTTGTGGCACAAAGTTTAATCCTCAGTATCATTTGTTTTAAATATTTATTCTTTAGGGTGAGACCAGTGTGATAGCTATGCGCTGCATTGAAATCTGGGAAACCCAGCTTGTTCCTGTCTTTATCTGACTCCTCAGTCCAGCAAGGGCTGGGAGCAATGAGGAAGCTCATGCATCCAGTATCTGGTGGTGCAGGTGTGCCTAACATCGCTGTACAGCAAAGACTCTTGGATAGATAAGGAACATACTGATAGGGAGGGTGCAAAGGAAATCCTGTCCAAACCTCCTCAACTAGAAGGAGAATTCCTGTCATATAAGGTCTTGGTGGTGGGCATTAAAATGAAGGTATCTCAAGATTCCATGAAGATGCAAAGGATGCCAGAAGACAGAATAAATTCAATGTCTTGGTCATATCACCTTGTACTCTGAGCTAAAAAAAATTCTGAAGTTAAGCTTAGTGCGGTTTGTTAGTACTACAAGTTGCACAGCATCACATGTAAGGTGCCAAGAAAGTCTCTTAATTCCCAGTGAAGTCAATGGGAGGTGAGGGTGCTCAGCACCTTGCAGGATCAGGGTCTTTCATGGGAGACGTCTAAGAAACAGCAGGATCTACTGGAGGTGGTGATATGCATAGTGCTAAAGATAACTATATGAGGCATGCTTCTGATGTCCTCTGCTCTCGTGACATTAATAGTTACATAACATTTTTCAATAATAGGCTGATAAGCTTGGTGTCTTGCTTGAATTTCAGCATAGACCACACACTAAGGCCAGTCTTAATTCCCTCTTCAATGGTAATCAAAGAAACAATCTTCATTAACAGTTTTGCCATATGCATGCCGGCACAAAATAGCAGTTATTGGCCCATTCCAACCCATGGCTACACTTCATCAGTCTTGAAGTAGTTCTGCTGCACAATGTTTGTAAAATAACATGAGGTTTTGTGGGAGAAAAGTGATTAAATATGTGCATGTACTGTATTCAAGTGACAGGTTTCAGAGTCCAACGAGAGACTGCTGAATTGGAATTAATTTGCAAACTGGATACAATTAACTTAGGCTTGAATAGAGACTGGGAGTGGATGGGTCATTACACAAAGTAAAACTATTTCCCCATGTTTATATCCCCACTCCCCAGCCCCCACTGTTCCTCAGACATTCCTGTTAACTGCTGGAAATGGTCCACCTTGATTATCACTACAAAAGGTTTTCTCCCCCCCCTCCCCCCCGCACTCTCGTGCTGGTAATAGCTCATCTTAAGTGATCACTCTCCTTACAGTGTGTATGATAACACCCATTTTTTCATGTTCTGTGTGTATATAAATCTCCTCATTGTATTTTCCACTGAATGCATCCGATGAAGTGAGCTGTAGCTCACGAAAGCTTATGCTCAAATAAATTGGTTAGTCTCTAAGGTGCCACAAGTACTCCTTTTCTGTATTCAAGTGTTGTATTTTTAGCCCTGGGAGTACCGCTTGGATAGGTTCTTCAATAGCAATATCTCATATGGCTTAGGCAATTGACTTTTTCTTGTAATTGGTTGTATATATTATGGATTATAGTTCAGTATAGCCAGGACCAGATTTAGGGGAAGGTGACCCAGGCCACCACCTAGATGCTGAGAGTGGAGAGTGCCAGGCTCGGGGTGTTGTTTTCGTTGTTAGCGACAAAAGGGAAAATAGATTGATTGAAGTAAAATGTTTCTCTAACTAATTTTTCACTAACTTCCTAGAATGTTCTGGACCTTTGTAGAATCTCGTGGAACCTTCCAGACTTTCTGAAAACTACGTTTTCCTTGAACCTCCTACAATGTTGTCAGCCATGCCCTCATGGGTATATCAGGAGCAGGGCATCGTCGCTCAGTCAGTGAGATATAAGAACGAAGTGAGAGGCCAGCTGCGATATGTGAACCTTGTTTTATTTTATAATTGTAAAAGGGTACTTGTGTTTTAAGACTTGAAGAGTGTACATAGTGACTAATAAAAGACATATTTAATGAGTCACCAGAGATATCGAACTCCTATCTATGCAACAATATAAAAGCAATACTGTTACTTCTTTTGCCATGCTTAACATGTAATGTTTGATGACTTTCTAAGACTGTGGAACATAGACTTTTGCTCTCCCTTATACTGTCTGTTTTTCCCCCTGTAGAAAATAAAAGATGCCCCTGAAGAAGCCTTCAGGAGCTCAGTATGGGAAGCGAAAAGTTCAACTGCAATCTAGCAAGGGGCAAATTTGATGGGAAAATATCTGAAACAGAACAACATAGACTGGGCCTTGGGCAGTAGCGATTGTCCCAGTGCAGAAGAAATTGAGGAGCAAAGCATAAATGATATAAATCCTATTACTAAGGAATTAGCAGATTTACCTGAAGATAAGGAATGGAAATGCGAGGAAAGTGATGGAGAATCATCCAGTTTTCCTGGCGGCGTAAAAGAGATCAGGGTTGGAAGGGACCTCAGGAAGTCATCTAGTTCAACCCCCTGCTCAAAGCAGGACCAATCCCCGATTTTTGCCCCAGATCCCTAAATGGCCCCCTCAAGGATTGAACTCACAACCCTGGGCTTAGCAGGCCAATGCTCAAACCACTGAGCTATCCAAGTGATGATAAAGAAAAATCTGGCTCACATGAAAAGGAGAGAAGCAGCAAAGAAGAATCAGCATCACACAATGACAGAAACAGCAGTGAGAAAAATTGCACACCACAAATCGATACATCAGATCCCACTTTATGGCCTGCAATCCTAAATTCTGCCGATATTCATTGTACAATTTTGAACGGGCTGGGCAAAATCAAGGAGATGATATTTCCAGTAAATAATCAGATCAGAAGTGACACTTTTCAAAGTCACACTGTGAAAGAGTGCTCGAGAATGGTGAGAAACTGAATCAGCATTGGCTAGTTTACTCAAAGTCAACTGACAAAGTGTTCTGGTTTTGTTTCAAAATATTTTATAAGAATGTCAAATCATTGCCTGAGCTTTCCAGGTACAATTACTGGCATAACTTAGCTGATACTCTGAAGCAACATGAAAAGTCACCCAGCCATTTTACGGCCCACTCCAAATGGATGGAGGTTGAATCCAGGCTCAAGCTGAATAAATGCCTAGATGCAGAAAACCAGCACATTATTAATGTAGAAACCCAGCACTGGAGGAACGTGCTCGAGCATCTGATCTCAACTACCCTCTTCCTTGCAAAGAATAATTTGGCTTTCTGGTGCTTGTTGGATAAGTTGTTCACTGAACATAACAATAATTTCCTTGGTTTGGTAGAACTTCTTGGGAAATACAGTGATATCATGTGTGAGCACTTATGTTGAGTAATTTGTAAAGAAGCTATGGACCATTACTGCAGCAAAACAATTCAAAATTAATTGATTGACCTTATGGCAAGGAAGGTATTCGATAAGATGTTAATGTGGCTTGGCAAAGAGAATTACTATGCCATAATAATGGACTGCACTTCCAACATTAGTCACAGTGAGAAGATATCATTTACAGTAAGATTCGTTGACTATTAGGATGGCTGTATCCAAATAAAGGAACGTTTTATCTGTTTCCAGTCTGTGGACAATTCTACTGGAAAAGACCTAACAGAACTGTTTAAGAACATTTTGAATGAGAATAAAATAAAGTTCAGGAGTGCCATGGTCCAGACTACAACAACGGTGCGAACATGAAGGGAAGAAACAGCGACATCCAGGCAAGGATCCTTGTGCTGAATCCAAGAGCTTCCTTCATGCCTTGTGGTAAATCATGCATGCAGATCGTGCATCAAAGTCATGAAATGGGCTACAAATGCCATAAAAATAAGGTATTCAAAAGTTCAACAAATGGGGGGTTAGGGGGTGGGGAAAAAACATTTCTCGCCTGGAGCGCCATTTGATCTAGGGCTGGCCCTGAATATAGTCAGCTGGTGCAGGTGAGGGGCTACTAAGTTTCATTCTGTTCCTATTTAATCTATATTTTTGGTCTCTGTGTACAGTTGTGGAATGATTACTTCACTTAGGGTGGCAATGCAAATGTATACAGTTAACATGTCCATCTCATCCCGTCCCTTTGTAACCTGTTGTCAAGGTATACTAAACTCGGACCCAAGAAAGTTTGTTGCTTCAAATCCAAAATGACCATAAGGAAATTTAACATTATAAATGATGTCTCTTGGTGAGTTTCAGATCATCAATACTGTAGTTTCAGGCACCGATGGCCAAGGTCATGAGAAATCAGTTTAAAACGTGAAAGAAATTTGTGGACCAATTTGTCTGAGTCCTGCTGAAATCCAGGGGATAATTTGTATCTGTTCTACAGAGATTTAGCTACATCTCTTCTAGTTTTCACATAACTGTTTTTTATGCCTAATCCTTCAAGCTCTTTGTAAGGGGACTAGTTCGTATGCCAAGGCCTTATAGTATTATGCCCAAATTTGGAGAAAAAAAAGTGAGAATATTGCAATGCCTCTGTAACATAAAATAACTAATGCAGAGAAAACAAACAACAATAATTTAGCAACAGAGCACAATTAAATAACAATACTACAGTGTTTTCCTCAGGCAAAAATAATAAAAAAGTCTCACTGTACTAGAATGTCCTTGGAGTTAGAAGCAGCATTAGGTACACACACAACCCAAGGAGGTGGGGGCGTGGGAGTGGCCTCAAAAGTATGGGTCAGTGAGCAACATTTCACTTGTGTTGGTGGAGAGGAACAGAAGCTAAAGGTAACAGAGTGCAGAGTGTGGATGCACGGGGAGAAGTGACTCTGAAGAATGATCCTCCCAAGCTGATAGAAACCTCCATGTAAGATTCTGAGCAGGCTGGGGCTCCGTAGCTCAGAAAAGAATTGGGAATAGGGAACAGCTGTTCTCTGTGGCATGTCCCCCTTCCAAATCTCAACTGGAATGCATGCTGCTAGGAGAAGAATTAACATCAGCTCCATGATGTCCCTTCTCCATTGAATACAACTGTAATGAACACCAATAAAAATAAAAATATTTAGTTAGATTGCAAAAGGTTTGTATGAAGAGCATTCCCTTTTGGTCTAATAAAGCATAGGCTGAGAGTCACTTGATTTTTGCATTCCTTGAGGAATTCTCAAATTAAATCTTGCAAGGGCGTCTTAACATTAAGATAGTGATGTGCTATCGTCATTTTGGATGTGCAATCAGCAAGTGGGAGCATTTTTGTAGCATCTCCTCCTAAAGAGGAAGCCAACTTTGTGGAGTGGAGGCAAAATCTCCTTCTGTTTTTATCCCAAATAGCCTTTAGTTAGTCATCATTTATTTTCAGGTACTGGAATCAATCTTAAACAGTGCTCAACCAGCATTACAAGGACAAAAAAAATAAAAATAATAATAAACATATTGCAGAACCAACATGCCATTTGCTGCCATCATATTGTTCACTGTTTGTGTGTTATAGCCCTTCTCCCACTTTGTGTCTTGTCTTGTCTATGTAGACTGCTCTTTAGGGCAGGGATTGGGGCTTAGTCTATATTTGTACAGTACCTGGCACTATGGGGCTTAGTTCTCAGATTGCCCTTAGGCACTGCCATAATAAGCATGATAATTAATAGTATGGATTGAGCCGGAGAGCGCAGAATTGCCCAGAGATTTTTCTCTTTTTCATACTAATATGAGTTTACAAACAAAAAATCCCTTGGGAAGAACAGACCCCAGTATTGAGCGTGATCTAGTCTTAGTTACACCAGCATAAATCAGGAGTAAATCCACAACATCAATGTTATTTCACTAGTATAAAATTAGTGCCGGGGAGAGGAGAACAAAGCCCCTTGTTTTTAATTAGCAAAACCCTTATTTGCAGGGATTTGTTTCATTCTGGACCAAAACATGGCTTGCAAACTCGTAGCTCAAGGTTTAAGGCATTTTTTTGAAGAAGGAAAAAAAAATCAATTTGGCTGTTTTCAAGTCTCCCAAAGCAGGGATTCAGGAATCTGAGTTAATCTGAACGGGGTTTGTGGAGATTTCATCCAGCCTTTCCTTCCGGCCATCATTTAAATCCCCTCCTACCATCCTCCATGCAAGCTGCAACGGCATCATCATAATAACCCTATGACCGAGAGGGATGAGAATCTCCACCGAGACTGTAATCTCACTCTAAACAGCTCTCTAGCGGATGCTCATGAGTGGTGATACATCATGCAATTTTCTCCTTTAGAGACTCAGAGTGTCACCTCCACTGTGATCCCTGCCCTGCCTGGCAGATGCCAGTAAGTGAGAGCCCAAAGTTAGCCTCAGACCAGCGTTTCTTATGTGACTGTGCACTGATGCTGCATAGCAAAGCAATGCTGAGTCTGCAGGCCAGCCTGCCTGCCAGTGATTAATATTTCCATATTGGCTATTATGCATTTGCTGGAAGCATTTTCCATAACATTATTTTAATATCTTTATTATTTCCAATATAGATAACAACATACATTTGAGTCAGAACTGCACATTGTAATCACTCAAACATATGAAACAGGTAGTGTCATGCAGAGCTCTGTATTACCACCTGTGCAGACTTGTATTTGTAATAATGTACACATGCTAACAAAAAAGCTATACATTTGACTTGATAAGGAACGTTATTGGCATAATAAGGAACGTTATTGGCATAATAGAATAATCCCCAATAGACCTGTGTATTTCCATAATGCTATTTAATATGCACAGATGCAAACTAATGCCCTGATGATGGTTTTTAGTGGGCAGATCTATCAAGTTCTCACACGTTCAAATGCAATACTGTGGCTCTAAGAGAGGAACTAGCATGCAGCCTTGAATAGTGTGTAACTCCACACTAAAATGGTAACCCAAACACAGTTTACCCCACAGAATTTTTCCTTCATATAAAAATAAATGCAAACTACTGTATTTATATATTATTAACAGTTTGATACAAACCCATAGACATCCGGAACTTAGAGCTGAGCCTCCCACTCTGATGCTAACTCATATATCATTGTGTCTTCTCTCCCTCTGTCTAAAAGCATGATAAGAATGGAATGTCAACCTCAGCTTTTAAGTGCCTGAACCACATGCTGCCCTCAGTCCTGCTCCCACGTTCCCCCTCCTCTTCCATTCATTTGATTTCATTGACATTATGTGGATGCCACCAGGGACAGCATTTGCACCCCTCCCTTTCGTCAGTTTGTGTAATAACCTGAGCATTGTCTACACACAGGGTTTTGTATTTAATAATCTTCCCAGCTTAACTGTTTTCATCTGACTCTCCCTCCTGAACTGATAAATCTAAATTGCACATTTTTTGAACAGCTTAGCTTATATCTTGCAGGTATCCTTAAATGACTGCCTAGTCTCTTTTGTACTTGTCTAGCACCATCTACTGTAACTATATTATACTGTCTTCCCTTTCTTTCGAGACTGCACGTTTATGATTCCTTCAGGAGTGTGCACTGGGGCTAAGGTGTTCACGGCAAATCATGAAGTCTGAATCCATTTCAAAGGCCACATGCTCTTATGATAGAGAAGCAAATGCAACATGCACCCATCCTGTACATAGAATGACCTGTATTTGTCAATTTAAAATCAGTTTAGGTGAGAAGAGCTTCTTAGATCTGCCAGTTTTCTAATGGCAAGTTCTGCTCCCTCCTCAGCAGCTAGAGAGGACAGCAGAACAAGGGGAGGGGAGCATCCCAATCAAGAGGTCAGCACCCTTTGCGCACCACACAGCCCAGATTCACTGAAAGCCACTGAGGCAGCGTGCACAAAAAGCTTTAAGAGCGGGGCAGGCAAGGCAGGGCACCCTCCTGTGCCAGCTCCACACAACAACAGATCTTCTGGCCACTGCCATCTACAATGGGGATGCTAGTTCAGCTGGGATTTATGCAATCTGGGAGCCTCAAAAGGAGCTGTAGAATGGGCCTGGAAGTGGGAGGAGTTTCCCAGCAAAAAATCCTGTCCACTGCTGTTCTGTAGGGTGTGGGACGGGGAGGAACTCCCCATAGAATCCTCCTTCGTGCCCAGCCCTACAATGCAGCATTGACACAGGGGACAAAATTTAGCTTTACATATTCTTATTACATTGTATTTTTGTAGGTGGATTTTGCACAGCAAAGGACTAGTACAGGTAGAAAGAGAACCGAAACCTCCTAGCTACTATGACTTTTATGGATTTGTATTATTATTATTTAGTGGCATCACAGTAACACCCAAAGGTCCCATCGTCCTAGGAGCTGTATGTTATGAAGCTTTCTTTTTAAAAATCTGATTAGCTAAAGAGTATCATTTCTTTGGATGGCAGATTTAAACTCATAATACCATTCAATCTATTCCAGATATGGGATCTCCTGCATTATTAGTGGGATTTGTATAACAGCCAGAGCATAATATATGTCATATATGCCTGGTGTGTGCACTTTCATGGTGAATACCATAAACATGCCTTACAGAACTCCATTCCCAAATCACCAGGGTAAATTATTTGTTTTGATGGTGAGTGAAATATTTAGTTTTCTATGATTATGATAATTGTAAAGGGTAGAAACTGAGGAGATTTAGTGATTCATCTGGTAAAATATCATGACAATTTTGCAAGGCTGCCATAAAGGTAGCTTATTAACCTGATAGTGTTTCTTGATGGTGTTCTAAAAAGAGCTAAACTATGCATGCATTCCAGCCAAATGTATGCATTTGTTCTGCTGCAATGTTTTATCTCTGTTAGTGAATTTATCCTACCGTCCCAGCATTCTGTAAGGGAATGATGCAAGAGACTGAAGACTACTCTCTCCAGGATTACCTTGCATTTGCTAGTCAAAAATTATTACAACAGCATTTTCATTTGCATGTGTGAAGCGTCTCTGGATTTTCAGTAAATTTGTCTTTCAAAGCTGATTTCTTTGTCCGTCATCACTGGCAGTTTACAAGTGTTTTTTTCAGTTGGGGATGCTGGAGCAAATGAAATAAACCCACAATAAAAATAATTTTGTCCAGGTGGTGCATAAATCAGATGAAGAACTCTCGTTCTACGTGGCAAATGTAAAACATATGCCATGTTATTTAAAGCTTAGCCTCTTTATTTGCCTGCATGACAAAAATCTACATATGTGGTAAAACTGATGTAGGCAAGCAATAAGAATATTAGGAATAAAATATGATGTAGGGAGTGACTCAAACAGAGCCACTTACAGGGTCATGGTCATTCTCCATTTCAAGTGGGCATGGAAATACAGTGAAGGTTATTCTTCTCTAGAGATGTGCAGATAATAAACACCTGCTACCCAGATCTATTCTTTCCTTTTAACTGTTGATGTATTGAATATTTCTGGAAATTGTGGACAAGCTAGTGTCAGGCGATGAGGACAAGGGTGGTCTAGCCTAGTGGGCAGAGCAGGTGTAGTGAACCAAGCGTCGGAACCAAGGACTAGGATCAGAGCCAGAGTCAGTAGTCAAAGGGTCATGATGGAGGGCAGGAACTGGATACCCGAGCCAACGGACAAGCCAGAGTTGGTAGTCAGATGCTGGAGCCAAGGGACAAACTGGAGGGCAGGAACTGGATACCAGAACTGAGTGTCAAGCTGGAGTCAGGAATCAGTCACAGGTCAAGCCGGAGGTCAGGAACTGGAGCAAGCAGCATAGCTGTCAAGGAAGGGTTCAAGGCAGGCGCAGGACAGAGGAAAGGCTGGGTGCAAGGCAGGAGCAGCAGGAACATGGTAACGCAGGAGAGCTGGCCTGCTGACCCCTCCAGCCAGTCAAGTTGCGTGGCCAGTCAGGCAACCTCCTGCAGGCCAGCTGTACTGATGAGACTGTCTGGAGACTAGATCTGCTGCAGGCCCTGATTCCTGACAGCCAGTGAGGAATACAAGGTGGTACCTACTGGTAAAAAGTGGGGCAGATAGAAAAATGTTGACAGATTACATGGGAGTCCTTCAGTAGGGTGTTCCAGTGTAGCTCTTCTTTCCCCCCATTCCTTTGTGTATGTGTAAGTTATTGTTCCAAAGCCAGGGCAGTCAGGGAAAATCTGAAAGTACATTCCCCACCACCACCACTGGCACTGAAGTAGATGCTTCTGAAGAAATGTTTTCAACAAGAAACATCTGAGTTCTCAAAGTATTGGGGAAACCAAAATCTGGGATTTTTTTTACATTGTATTTTTAAAATCATTTTCAGATTATATGTTATAAATCTACACTTTTAAATCCTTGTTTACATTCCACTGGTGACTGTCCAAACTGTGAATTTCTGGTCCTGATCCAAATTCTCCCAAGGCTCAGTGCGGTTTTGGACCATTCCCATTTCTAAGCAGAAGACAGAAATAGCTTCAGTTCTGAGGCTCTTTCTTGACTGAAAATAAATTGGTGTTGAACGTCATAGTCGTTGGAGAACTTTGAGTCTGTGTCATCGCAAAGAGACTGAATTGATGAGATTTTCCCATGTAATTTAATAAAAATAATTGTCCAGAGCACTTGTCCAGTGTAAATTATGCTCCTTTTCTAGTCTCTCATACTTTCCTCCCTAATGTATGGGTGGAGCTTCATAGTTATGGGCTCTTGAGACACGCAAGGCATGAAGGAAATGGGGTTAGCACGAATCAAACCACACTGGTTGGAATAAGACACGTATTTATTTAGAAAAAGAGGAAATAAATTTTTTTAAAAATTAAAAGGTGAATTCATAAGGTAGAGCTGCCTGGGAACTGTGCTCTTTACATGTACGGTTTTAAATAAAAAAATGAGTGCTCACCCTAGCAACTGGAGCAACACACGGTTCAGTACTTCCATGACGCTGAACAGCTTATTAACCTAGAACCATAAAATCACTCACAATGACATTTAGTAACATGAAATGTCTGACATAAATCCACCAGTGTATGGAAACTCACAGCCAGGGAGCCTGTCGCTTACCCTCTTGTGTCTACAAACAGCAGGACACACAACATGGAAAGTGAGCAAGAGGCAAGGGGGCATCTAAAGGCTCCAAGAGAAGGCTGGGAGTTTGGAACGCAGGAGTTCTAATCCCAGCTCTGCCACCGACTCGCACTGGGGCCTTGTACAAGTCACTTTGGACCAGATTTTCAGGAGTTCAGCAACCCCAACGGGGGCTAGGTTTTCAAAAGAGCGCTACTTGTTGGGTGCTGAGTGCTTTGGAAATCTGGCTCTCATTGAGGTGTCTAACAGGGAGCTGACTTCTTTTAGAAATCCTGCTCCAATTGTGGGTGCTGAGCATGTGACAATATGCCCCTGAGCTCTTTTGAAAACAGGTATCTTAAGGCCTGATCCTGCAGCTTCGAGGGGGAGTTGTGGGTGCTCCCAGGATCAGACCCATGGAGAAAATAATACGGTGGGTGTGGGAGAGGCCTGATTAGTTAAACCCTGATCCTGCAAGCAAGCAGCTTCCATATAGAACCCCACTGGCTTCAGTTGCCCACAGGGAGCTTCTTGCAGGGCCTAGGCTTGACCAGTGCTTTGAAAATGTTAAGGCAATACTGTCCATGTGAAGTCTAGTCACGTTTCAAAACTCAGTTACAAAGGAGTTTCAGGTACTACACCTGGCCCTGAGTCCTCCTGGGAATTCTTGCAGTTTTACAATCTAATTTTTCATGCTTGAAGAAATACTTCTCTCTTCCTTGTTGCTGTGTGAAAGCCCCACACAAAAATCAGAGAAAAGGACTCAGGCACCAATCTCCTGTGACTACACGTACACTTAACTTTAAGCATAGGGTGACCATATTTCCCAAAGGAAAAATGGGATATCGTGTGGGGCTGGCCCGAGCCCTCCCCGCACTGTGGGGTTGGCCTGAGCCACTCATCGGAGCCCCCCCACACGGGGCTGGCCCAAGCAGCTCGCTGGAGCCCACCTCCCCGCACGGGGCGGGGCAGGCAAGGCTCGGGTGAGCAGTGACGCACATCTTAGACAGGGTGACCATATTTCCCAAAGGCTGGGACTGGTATTGCAGCTCACCCAAGCCCTGCCTGCCCCCTGCCAGAACTTGCCTCTTGCCCTTCACTCTGCCACATGGGGCTGGCAATGCCGCTGCCCGCTGCCTCCTTCACCCCCGCGCCCGCATGTTCCTCTGCATCCCACTTTTTTGCCAAAAAAAAGGTCAGGACGGCCAGGACAGGGCTTAAAAGGGACTGTCCTCGCCAAAACGGAACATATGGTCACCCTGTTTAAGCATGTGAGTAGTCCCATGGAAATCAGTGAGATTACTCATGTGGAGAGCTGGCTAGAGGCAGGTAATTCCACTGTACAGAGGATTTTGCTAGTTCAAAATTTGGTTTCGTTCCAAATAAGAACAAACCCCCAGATTTTTGAAATTCTCCCTGAAAGAGGATGAAGCCATGGTAGTCCACACAGTGAGGTGTCCCAGAGCCACAGACCCTAGAAGTGCTGGGGTCCCCGGCCCTGGAACAATCTGTGTGCAGGCAGTCCCAGAGCTGTGGATATTAGAAGCTCTGTCTCTCCAACACCCTGCCAGGCATGTTGCTGAGGAGCCACGCAGGCAGGCTGGCAGGAAACCAGACAGGTTTTGAGGCCCACCCAGCCAGCAAGATTCCCTCAGAATCCTCCTGGCTTCCAGAGGAACTTCTCTGAAATCAAACTGTCTTCACAAAGCTTTTTGATTTTGACAAATCTACTAATTCCAATGAAAAAACTCTTTTGTCTGAGTTTTTCCAACCAGTCCTATTCAATTGCTTAAAATTAAAAGCTTGAAACTGCAAGATTGGTGCATTAGCAACTGTATGGAAAGGGGGAAATAGCAAAACTGACCATGCAGAAAGCACTACCAAAATACACAAAGTAAACTAACTGAAAAAATAGGGGAAAGTAAATGTACTTTCTAATGTCTTTCAGTTCTAGTAATTTTAGTTGTTATTGGTATAAATAAAAGGAGTACTTGTGGCACCTTAGAGACTAACAAATTTATTTGAGTATAAGCTTTCATGAGCTACAGCTCACTTCATCGGATGCGTTCAGTGAAGGTGCCACAAGTACTCCTTTTCTTTTTGCAAATACAGACTAACACAGCTGCTACTCTGAAACCATTGGTAAAAATGACACTTAAAGCATTTTCCGACAGATGTCTTATCTTTTAGTTGATGGTCTCTCTCTTTAAGTGCTAAAGCATTGTTATGTGGCAGTTTTAATGTAGCCAAATGGGGACTTGATTGAAATCAGTAGCCCCAATTTGCTTGTCGCTTATTTAAGCTTGATTTGAACCCAGGTTTTTAAAGGCTCCTGCACTACATCATTAGCACACCTCCTATAGCCAGCACACCTTTCTGTATTTCACATGCCTGAATTTTAAAAAAAAAAGTGCAATGTAAGATTTTTTGTTTTAAAGTGTTTAGCTCTCCACTCCTTCCATTATTAAACTGAACTAAAATATGACAGCTAAAAGGAGATTAAACACATTAAACACATAGGCACATCTACCTTGAGCAGAGGAAGCCTTTCATAACTCATACAGAGTTATTGGGCTTACCCACAATATTAGTGATAAAAATTGATTAGCCATTCCCACTTGTTTCATGGTCCATAGCTATTTTTTCATTGGTGCTATAAGTTGGTTTATACAGAGGGAAATAGTATTATTAAATAGCAGAGTATACACATAATATATTGTACTTACTAAGGGCCCCAAAACAGCTGAAAGCAGCATCTGTGTGCCTCCTGGCCCACAAAAGCAATCTGAATGCTCTGGACTTTGCATCTGCTAAGGTTACTCCTTGCTCTGAAGAGGAAGTCTCTCTTCTTTAGTGAATGTGCACTGCCCAGTCAGGCTTTCTGCTGCCTCTCTATTCCCAGGGGGGAAGGTTTGTGACTCTGCCAGCCTGATCATCATATATACCATCACACTGAGCTCCAGGAATGGCACGTGCGGACACGCTGA